ATTCATTCATTCATTCATTCATTCATTCATGGTGTGTTTCTTTACTTCGTTACTTCCCGCAGGTTTGTTCCAAGCCGCGGGTGGCTGGAAGAGAGGCCCCCCCGGGGGGCCTTTCGTTCGAGACTGTTGCTTCCGAACCAGCAGAAAAGACACAAGCGACCCCAAAAAAAAAGACACAAGTGAACCCCCAAAAAAAGACACAGGTGACCCCCCTTCCCTCTAAACCCCTCCTCCTTTCGCCAGATGAAGCAGCCAGCAGGTCGACGTTGAGGTCGCCGGTGATCCTGAACCCCCCCAATTGATGTAGCGCTTAGGGGTCTTAATAATTAGAATAGGACTCCTTTAATGGGTTCCTTAAAAGGGTTACTTTAAGGGTTACTACAAGGGCTACTATAAGTGTTTAGGGTTTCGGGGCCTTAATGATTAGAATAGGGTTTTGGGGGCATATTATACTATGCTTATTCTATGGAGCCCCCAACATAGTATAGGTAAACACTAGGGCATTTATATTATCCCGAAACACTAAGCCTCAACAGCCCCAGACTCCAAACCCATCGTGCCCGTAAGCTATATATAAAGTACGTAACCCTATCGTATAAACCCTACAACCCAAAGCCCAACAACAACGAAATCCTAAAGCCCGCAAAACACGACAAATCCCTACACTCGAAACACAACAGATGATAAAGCCATGTAGAAACTCCACGCCTACAGAAACTCTATGAACCCCAAGAGCTCGAACGCAGAGCTGACGACTGAAGACCGGTTTAGACAAGCACAGAAGTCTTATCGAGCAACTACGGGTTTTATAGAGTCTCTATACGCTCTAATGGGCGTTAAAATGCTTTAAAACTGGCTTTGGAAGGCTTTAATGGGGCTTAGAAAGGTTCACAGAGGGTTTCGAAGGGTGGCAACATGCTCCACAGTGATAGAAAGTTTTTAAAGCGTGCTTGACGTAGTTGCTACTGGGGTTCGCGATTTGTTTTTTTGCTAAGTCCCTTCTGCACAGCAGCTCGAAGTCCAGACACAAACGTTGTCCAGTATGCAACGGATCTAATTAATGCGTGGGCTGTAGAACTGGGTTTGGGGAACCAAACAGAACAACCAGTGATTTCCTCAGGCTTCTGTCGTATATCATAGTATAATACGATTATAAACGGCGGCCCTCAGCAAGTGGTAGCTACTAACCCTAAGTCCTAAACCCTAACCCCTAAACCCCAAAATCCTAAACCCGAAGCCCTTGCAGCTATTCGGTAAGCCTCTCAGGCTTTCTTGTTTTGGAATTGGGGCTTGGAGCCCTGTTCGGAGGGGCAGGGCTTTGGTGTTTAGGGCCTGGGGCTTTCTGCGGGATCCTTAAAGGTTTAGGGGGGCTGATAGGGATCAGGTTCAGGGTTTGGGGTTGTTGTTGTTAAGAAGGGTTGAAGGTGTAGGGATTAGGTTTAGGGCTTAGGGTTTGGGCTTTAGGTTGAGATGATCAAGCTGAACGGGAGAAGTGAAAGAAGCAAATAGGTAAATATGGATGGCTGGGTGTTCCCATGTCGTCATGAACAACCCATATACCATCAACACTTCAAGCCCTAAGCCACAAACTCCCTAGACCCCCTAACATTAAGCCTTAAACCCTAGACTCCAGATCTTAAGTTCCCGACAACCTCCGTGATTCTGTAAGCCATAGAACAACTAAACCCCAAACCCGAAAAAGTCTCAACTCTGCATTCCATAAACACCCCCTACATTCCCTGAGCCCCAAATTCCCTGAGCCGTAAGTTCCCTGAACCCTACAGTCCCTAAACTCCTGGAGACAAAGCCCTAAACCGGAAGCCTCCTGTCTTACATAAACTGCCTAAGCCCGACAGAGTCCCCTTGAAACCGCTAATCTTCGCCCTAAGGGCTGCCCTAAACCCTCAACCCCAAACCCCTAAACCCCCTAAACCCCTAGACCCCTAAATCCCCTAAACAACCCTAAACCCCTTAAACAAAAGCCCTAAACCCCTCAAAACCCTCCTCAGTACAGCACAGGAGCTGGGTGACAAGGCGAATGCACATCCGGAAAGCCGTGGAAGGCCAGGAACTCCTGCACTTCCGCCTCGGAGAAAAGTGGGGTGAAAGGAGGGGAGCATCGAACATCGGAGGTTCTAGGGACAATTTAGGGTTTAGGGGAGTTTTAGGGCAAAGTTGGGGAGTTTAGGGAACTTATAGGGTCCAGGAAGTTTGGGGGTGCAATTCCGTCACTATAACCATGGAACCCTAACGCCCGAAACCCTTGGACCCCAAAATCCCGACCACCAAAGCCCAAAAACTTGGGACCGAATTAGGGGCCTGCATTTTCGCTCGACGCTCCATCCGCCGCCGCTGGCCAGGCGTAAGGGCGACGAAGTCTGCTAGGGAGGCGGAGGAAGCGGCCTGAAAGAGGGCTTAAGATAGGGGCCTTGATAATCAGAAAAGGGTTTTCGGGTATAAGTATACTCCACTGATAATTAGGAACGCCTAAATAGTATCGGTAATCATTCAGGCCCCTATAATAGTGTTTCGGGCTTCAGGATTTTCTGCAGCGAAACGATCAGTAAGGGGCTTGTAGGGCCGGTAGGGCTTGTGCGAGCTCGGGATGTGAAGCGTCGCCATGATGTGTTGTTGACGTTGCCACTCGTCTGAGGGCTTGGTGAGGTTAGGGCTAGGTTTGTCGTTAAGGCGGTGCTAGGCGCTAGGGTGTCTTTATGTTCTGGAGTATCTCTCTGTTTTGAACGGATGTCGCGCACAGAGTGTGTGTGTGTGTGTGCGTGGGTGTGTCGGGTGTGTGTGTGTGTGTGCGTGTGTGTGTGTGTGTCTCTCTCTCTCTCTATGTGTCTGTCCGTCCGTCTGTCTACTTGTCTCTGTCTGGCTGTCTGGCTGGCTGGCCGTCTGTCGGTCTGTCTGTCTGTCTGTCTGTCTGTCTGTCTGTCTGTCTCTGCGTGTCTGTGCGTGTCTGTCTGCCTGTCAGTGTCTATCACTGTCTGTCGCCGTCGGTCGGTGTCTGTCTGCGTCTGTCTCTTCTCCCAGGCGTAAGGGGCGAGTAAAGCCCCTCGGGCCTTCAGCCGTCCCGCTTTTTGCGGACCTTCGGGAGGGGGTGAGAGTCTGAGATGGCTTACTGGCCAAAACGACAGAGCAGTATACTTTCTTCACATTATGTTTTTGGCTTCCTTCGGGTTCGGGCTCGCGTCGCTAACCCGCGCCCAGGTTTAGGTCTCTCTTCCCGTCTCGCTCGCTAACATACGAGGCAGCTCACAATTCGTCATATCGACCGTGCGGCTGTACATGCCTTGTGGCCGGCATTAACAACTCCCACAAGAGTTGCAGGGCCAGAACGGAAATATGCAGAAAATGCTGCAAATGCCACAACTGAGTTCGAAAAGTGTCAGCGTGCGGCGACAATTCGGCGAGGCCTAGATTAGGGCTTGATTGGGCGTTTGAGGTCTAGCTTTCGAACTCCCGATTGCCGGTTGAAGACCTACGCAAGATACTGGAAAATTCCGGAGCTTGTCATGGAAGGCTCACCTAGCCTACGTCGATTCTGCTTGCGGTCAAAGCGGCTCCAAAGCAGTCCTGCAGCAAGCCGTGAAGCGAGATGCATTAATACTCCGAACCCACGACTTGCCCTGCCTCAATCAAGCTGCTACTTTTTGATTTTTAAAGGGCTGTGACGGGATCGGATCCTCCCTGCGCCAGTGCTGCATCTTGCCGGAACGAGAACTTCACCTGCTTCTGAAGCACCGAACAACCGGGAAAATGGGCTTCAGGAGTTCAAACGCTTTCAGCGAAGCCGATTGTGTTTGACTTGCCAACACTCTTTCACCGTCACCACTTAAGTGACCGACTAGATGAGCCCAGTTTATTAGGTGGTCCTCACACTGCTGCGCCTCTCTGCCATTTGGCAAGCAGACACCCACGGCTCGCTCGGCCTTTCCATGGGCATACCCGTACAGCTTGTCGAAGCCAAGGCGTGCGGAAAGCAACTGGACACCAACTCTGCTTCCGAGCAGGCTTACTTAGGTTTTGCTTTGGGAGAACCAGAACCCTCCGAAGCGAGGAGAGCAAGGCCTGGAGAGCAGTTGGCTCGTGCAGCGCCTTAGCCATATCTCTGTGTCGACTCGAAGCAGTCTAAAGGGACAGGATTCACAGGATGAAAGACCACACCCACGGCCATCCACGAACAGGGTTCAGAGCAGCGCGGCTCTTTCTCAGGGTGCCACGGCAGTCACGCTGAAGCTGATCCCTGCTTGCTACCTTCTACCTGCCTACGGCCTACAGTTCTTCCGATCTTCCTACCTACCGTCCTACAGGCCTACAGGGTTTTGCCTGCCAGATCATGGACTTTGCTTCCGTACTTCTGTGCGAAGTGCGAGGCACGAGGTGAAACGGCCGAGCTGGGAAGCGCACGCAAAAATCTGTGGCGAAAAGCACGAAGGATTGAGATGTCGAGTCGATAGTTCCCAGCCTCGGGTACCTACCTAGCTACATCTTCAGATTGCCTGGCTGACCACTTTTGTGGGGCCGGGACCTGAGCTAGCAGTGCCCATGGCACAGTACCTGATTCTTCGCATCTGTGTAGGACTCCAGAACGATACAATACGTGTCGCATGGCAGGATGTCACTCTGCGGTGTGAATCTGGCTAGACGGCGATGTTTTCTTGGAGCCCTATTTGGGTGGAAGTATGTCTGGCAGGCTTGGGGTGGAGGTCTTCAGCACTGGGTCCACTGTAAGGGGCGTGTGGGGCCGTGCCCAGTCCGTCACCGTGCGGAAGGGACGCTTGTTGGGCTCGTTCCGGCGCACCCTGGTGATAGGGTCCGTGGAGAGGTTGGAAAGGGACAGGTCGACTGCGGAGCTCGAGGGTCGTATCCGGGAAGAGGTTTCGAAGAGATCTTCATCGTCGAAAAAGCCTCGGCCCGAGCGCCCACCCGGGCCGAGCCAACGATCTTGCAGGACGGCGTTGACATGGAGCGATGCCTGGAAACGCTTGATGAACCCCTTGATCTCAGGAAGCTGGAACAGGAGCTCGCACCTCTTCAAACAATACTTCACATCTTTGACAATTCCACTGAGCAGCTCTGCTTGCTCTGGTGTAGCAGCCTGCACATGGTCTCCCAAGAATGTGAGTTTCTCGTCCCAGTCTCCAGGTTCCCCATTCCACTCAAGGCAACCAGTTGCCTGTTCCTCGCCGGTGAGCTCCGGCACTTCTGGCGCAAAGCGCTCGCGCTCGCTTTCCTCAGCTTCAGGCCCCATCACAAGCCCACGGGCTTCGGCCTCAGCTTCTGTGACGGGATTGCCCGTCCTCCCCACTTCCGTCGGCGGCTCCGTGGGAGCGACACCTTCGCCGCCCTCGCCTTCGGCTTTGCTGCCACCTTTGCACTGCTCCAAGGCCACCACGCGTGCCTCCAGAGAGTCCAGGCGCCCGAAAATCTCTGCAGACCTGGACGCGGGCCGTGGAATCGTGGGAGCTTCCCCTGGCGCAGGGGGTCCCTCCAGAATGGCCAAGCTGTCTGACAACGTCTCCACTGCAGCAGCTAAGTCCCGCACCTGCATCGTGCATTCACCAGACATACCCGATTCAACTGTATTGAAAAAGCAAAAACGGTACTAGCTGCACTTGGCGTGCGGGGGGCAATCCTTCGCGGTCTTACGCTGCCACACCGATTTTGGACATCATTCTGAACTCTCCGGCACACTGTCATGCCATGCAGTCTCCCATCCCTTCTTCCGAAGCCTTGGCCTCCATGCTTCCCATGCGCACCTGCAGGCAAGGAATCATCCGGGAAAGGCAAGATTCATCAAAGATGTGCACGGTTTCAACATCCTGAACGCAGCACCCACCTAATTGACACCATGGCATTGCCCTTTCCCGTCCTTTTACCACCCGCCCGAATCATCTCAACCGTCTCAACCCTGCACAGAGTTCAACGATCAAGTCGCCTCTACCTGCGGTGCTGGTGCCGCAGCTGCAGCCCCGGTTTCTGGCTGAGCCATGGGATCGACGGAGTCCGGATCCTCGAAAAACTTCAGGTCTACGAGGCGCCAGCTTCGGGCTAGCTGTCAGCGTTCTCGAGGCGAGAGGTGGGCCCACCAAGTGTCGCACCTCTGCGGTCGCAGGCCGCCTCAGCTCCGCCACCGCTGCCTCGAGAGCAGAGACCTGACACAGAGCGAAGTAATAGAACAACTGAGCAAGAAAAACGGACTGCGACAGGAGAAAAGCCGCACACACGCGCACGCGCGCCCACACCACACCACACCACACACACACACACACACACATACATACATACATACATCAGTACCACACACCCAAAGACGCGACCAAGACAGAACCAACCGCTTCTCAACTCCTGTCCACATCCGAAATAAACACCTTGCCATGGGATCGACGAGCGATTTAAGCTTCGCTCGAACACAGTGAAAAGGCGGGTGCAAAGGATCAGTAAGTGCAGGCGTGTCAGGACCAAGCCAGGACTAGCAGCTACCCGCGGCCACTCTGGATACTACAAGCCCACACAGCAGACCCAATGCGAGTTAAGAGCCTGCAAGCACCAAAGGAAGTGCAGCTTTAAGTCACCACTGGCTCACGGCCAAAACCGTGCGCACCGAACCTGCTCTTTGAGCTCCTGGAGAGGGGACCTCGCTGGGCTCGGGCTGCACTGGACGGGTGAGGCTGCATTGAAGAAAGGTGCATGCCAGAAGGGTTGAGTGACGGAAGATGAGCCGCAAGTTGTGTATACAAAGTATTTTTTGGCACTCGCGCTCGACAGAGACAGGCGAGGATGATGGCGGTTAACACAGAAAAGCATAAGTATGTATATGTATCAGTGTTTGCGCGCGTCTGTGTATGTATGTATGTATGTATGTATGTATGTATGTATGTATGTATGTATGTATGTGTATATATGTATATATATACACACCGATATCCACTCTTATTAGTATGTGCGTATGAATATGTGTGCATTGTTTATCCCATGCGTCACACTTGATCAAGCTCACTGTTTGTCAGTGGCCGCCCTCGAACCATACATGTCGCATTTCTCCACACGAGAACCGCGGAGTTTGTAACTTCAACAAAGGGGCCCTGAAGCAGGATGATAACTCGGGCCAGGTATAGACTTCTCAACCCTCAGGCATCGTACCAAATGGGGTACGGGCCACACGCACAGACAATTTTGGGAAACTAAAGATACCAACACGATTTTGTCTTTGGGGCTTGGAGGAAAGAAGTGGGCAGAGTCCTTCTGCCAACAAGTGCACTGTGACCACGTGAGTGATCTACCTACATCACCTTTTGCTGCAAACAACACCAAGTCGCTCCGTGCTACAAAGCTGCCTCAACATGTATTCAAATGGCAACTCGCTCTTGAGCAGCACAGCTTCTCTGCAGCCTGGACGCTTTTCCGGCGTGGCTGTGGGCTCCGCTGTCATCTCGGCGGCATCCCCTGTGTTCGCTTCAGCATCCGCGCCCTCCGCAACGGCAGCCTCCTGAACATAAAGGCCGGTGTGAATCTAAAGCATCAAAGAAACCACCGTGCGACACCAAAAAGATCCACGAGCCCTTGGATGCCTCAGAAGCGTTGGCCTGATCCTGGTTCAGGGAGACTTCGTTCCTGAGAAAGCTACCGACGGCTTGAGGAATCGAGGCTTCCGGAGTATGGACAGTCGGGTTCTTGGTTTCGACTCGCACATAGCACCAGCTAGGAACCGCTCACGACGGTGTGTCTTTTGAGTTGTCACTCGTCAACTTTGCGAAGGAGGCCCATCCGGGTACTCCCATACCCCCATCACGAGCAATCAAAACTAGCCGCTAGCCCGTGACACCAAAGCACAGACGCGGCAGGCCAACGCTACAACGCAGAACATGTCAGCTACAAGTGACAGAGGCCCCGATGCTTGTGAATAGTCAGTCGAGGCGAGTTTGGAGTGAAGACAGGGATGGGGCTGGCGCCTCTTGAAGCCTTGGGCCCTGCAAGTGCAAGCCAGTTGCGGCGCCAAGGCTTCTGCCACAACAGCGCGGCAGGTCCTTGGCAGGACTTTTTTCTGCGTGGATGTCGCCCTAGTCGCACCTGGCTAAGGTCAACTGCAGCTTGTGGCATGAGGCAGCTGAGACCATCGACGAGGTGAACAAACAAGCCATAAGACCGTGCAGTTGTCATGTGTGAAGCGCGTAGCTGGCATGCCTGCATTCCTTCCGAGAGCACCGTGGCATCTGAAAGCCGTAAGAGGCCTGACCTTGCAAGCGCACAAAACCAGCAGAAAGGGGGCTGCCGGCTGTGCAGTCAGCGCCCCACAACCGGAGAGCAACACTTCCCGGAGAACCCAGATGCGTGACTTGCGGTCTCGAGCTTCTCTTCAAGCTGCTGGGTGAGCTGAATCTTCAACTCTGCCTCCAAAAGTCTCGCCGCATCTCTAAGGGAACCGGGGCAAAACACGATCTCAGAGCTACCTGCAAGGCGAAGATCCGAATAAGCTGGAGCTCTTTACCTGATCAATCCTGTTCCACAGAAGCAAATCCCGGCTTGTCTCCCTTTCTTTTGCTCGGCTGCCTTGGCACTTCTAGCCTTTGGGCATTGTTCGCACTACAGCCATTGCTTCACGGCATGAGAAGTCATGACTGTTCCGAGCATTCTCGGACCGCCTCCAGTCGCACGAGCTCTTGGGAAATGATGGCCTTGCGCTGCATGTTGTGTGACACTCACTCATGTGGGTGCGGGCTTCAAGTTTCCAGGCTTGCATGTCCGATCCAATTAGTCTTTGGCTCAGGGCTGTCTTCGCTGTTTCTGTGTGGTGGTGTGTAGATTCGTTTTGGGCTTAAGCGTCAGGCTCGGTGACCCTTGCTCGACGGTATCCAGAAGTTGTTGGCTTCAAAGGTGTGGATCTCTCAGTTCTCGCATTGATACTCTCTGAGAACCCAGACTGCTTTAGTTTGATGCACAGATCGTTGCTTGACCACTCTTGCCAAGCTTCCCGACAGCACCTAATCACACCACGACATATATCCTGGGCATGGAACTCGCCTCTCAACAGAAGAGAACGATAGCCCCAGTACTCAGTAAAGTAATTAATCCACTTCCACTGCATGATCACCACTAAACTATTGCGTTGCGATCCGTTCAAACTGTTCGAGGTCCTGTAGATTATCGGCAGCGCCAAGAGCAGCACCAGGCTCATCGACGGCCTCGTAGGAACGCTTCTTCTTATGTAATCACAGTCACGGTTCGCAACATTCTAAATGCCTTCCTCCTGCTGGGCCTTGCAACACAAACAAGAACAAAACATCTGGCCGACGGGCAATGCAGATTTCTCACACCCTCTCTCGGATGGCACCTGCGACTCCGGCGGCTCCGGCACAGCCTCCAACACGCCTCCTTGCAGGAAAGGCTGCTGGAACGGGGCGTCTAATCAAACTGAATAATAAAGGTTGCCGTGATGCCTAATTTTGATGTCCAACTCATTTGGCCGAGGTGCACAGCAGGGCCGTACACAGCAGCAGTTCCAAGTGCCGCTGCTGCACAATCAGTCTGACGTACATAGCATGTAATTATAGAACAAGCGGGACGATGACAAACATCAAAGCAAGTGTCCTGCTTCGGGCGGCACATTCGGGACCTCCTCCACATCGACCTCCTATCGGGAAGCTAAGGATTGCAGTTTTTGCTTCTTCAGACGCGAACCGAGGATGGGCAAGTCCTGCTTTGCGAGGCTGACGTGCTTTCGGTTCATTTCTGAGGGGAATTGAGGCTGCTCGCACAGTTCCAGGGTCATGCTGCAAACTTCAAGCATTGCCTAGACTTTGGCGAAGCATTCCAGCTTCTTTGCATCAGGACTTGTGCAATCTCCTGAAGGCCTGAGCACACGGAGGCTCAGCTCTAATGACTGCGCTTCCATGCCGTGCTCAAAAGACTCAAATGTACCACCTCAAAAACATACACACGATATTTGCTTGTCTCCTAGATGTGGCTTCATCGAGGACTTGGAATGGTTTGAGCTGGGAAGGTCAGCAGGAACGGCTCTCAGGCTCAGTTGCGTCAAGACTGACACAACCAAACATCCGAAGGCTCGCGGACTTCAAGGGTGCCGTAAATGCAAGCAAGGCGGAAGACGTTAAAGGAAGCACATAAATCAAAACAGTCTGGTGCCACATAGGCACCAAACATTCTGACCTGCCTTACTATGATGTACCAGTAGCATTACACAAACAGGTGTACTAAAGTAGGCCAAACAGCACTAGATGATACATTCACTATATGTCTATGTCTGTATGTCACACATGTAAACCTGAGAACAGAATCGGTTACATGTCCGCATGTTGAAGGTTCTTCGGTCCGAGGCGGCTCGACTCTGCACTTTCTCAATCACGTCTTTGGAGTAGTCTGCTGCGATCTCTGCTACCAGTCCTGGCACATGCTTGCCGAGAAGAGCTTCGGGGGTTTCTAACTCCAAGCTGGGCTCCAGTACCGAAAATGCTCAGACTCAGAATGCTCTTTTTCTTTTCTGTCATTGGGCGTAGGGGACGAGTTAAGTCCCCTGGCCGTGTGGCCCCCCGGTTATGGGGCTTTGAGGGATTGTTTGAAAGTTGGGTATGATGAATGCTCTTTCTTTCTCAAGGGTTGAGGGAGAGGGGAGAAGCTCCCCTCACCCGCGCGCGTCAGCGCCCCCGCATGTTGCGGAGAGGCACAGCGAAAAGCTCTTTCACTAACAAGGCAACTCGAGGAGATTGCTACACAGAGCGCATCACAACAAGGAAAGTATAAGCAACATCATGCCATCAAAAAGTATGCATCCCTCGACTGGGTCATTGCCCATGCCTTCTGAAATTGTTTGGGAGTCATCTGCAAGGGTTAACCCCTGTGGGTTGCGCCCGCCATTCGAATCATAGGATTTGCATAAAATACATTGAGCAGTAGCAAGATCACATACAAAGTTTTGCAGGGGTGCACCCCCCTCTCATTCGACTCACTCCGCTACGGTGCAGCTCAGACCAAGTCAGACTTCTCCGAACCAGCGTGGCTGTCACTTGCGGAGTCCATGGCGGCATGTAGACGACGACGGCGATGGGAGGGAGCTCTCCCCCGTAGGGCTGCTTCTTGTCGTTCCTCTTGAGAAGGACTCCCCAGCCTATGCTCCACCATAACCGTGGAAGCTTCGGAGCCCATGCTTGCTGCGGTGGCCCCTAAAGCCAGGTCGTCTTCGATGGTCTCACTCAAGCAGATGGGCGTCCCCCAGAGCGAAGTAGTCCATTGAAAGAGTAGGCCATGTGCTTCGTGTACCACCGAAGCCGTCTGTTGTTCGAGGAATGGAAGGACGGTCTCGAGCAGTTGCTGTGCCTTGAGGATATCATAGGGGTTGGACCCCCTATCGTCTCTCTGCATCGGTGTAGAGCTGGGTCTCGGTCTCGATGGCGCTTGTTCCGGAGGTTCACGAGGTTGAACATGTGCATGTGCCGGTAGAGCGCCTGGAGCATGTAGTGCAAGTTGAGCTGGCAGAACAGGAGGAGCAGGTAGCCAGGAGGTGGTGTGAGCTCCCAATCCCGCCGCGGAGTTTCCAGCCAATGGGCGCTCAGAAGGGGCTTGCTCAACTTCCCCTGGCTGCATGTAGTCCGGGATTTGTGAACTCCCGGAGGGGCGTTCTCCGGTGCGCCGGCGTTTGGGGCTATTGTCACGCCCCGAGAATCTGGATTGAATCCAGTCCAGCAGCTGTCCCATGTAGCCATTTGCTCTCTGGACAGCCTGCAAAGTTGTCTCGAGGGCTTCTTGCAGCTGGGTCACCCCACCTTCCTCTTTGGCTAGGTGACACATAGTGATGGCCTGCAGAGCATTGGAGATCGCCGCTTCACCAGCTCCTGCTCCCGGAGCCTCCGGATCCCTGGCCCAGCCATGAAGGAGTACTCGGCTCTGTTGCAGCAGGTCATCATGCTCTCTCTCTCTCTCTCTCTGCCTGCCTGCCTGCCTGCC